TATATATCATGGGATAGATGACTGGAATAGAAACGAATGTACACTTTGATGGATGTTTTTTTTTTGTTAATTCGGTAGAGCTTCAAGCCGGTTTCCCGGCCGGTTCTAGACTTTGTCTGATAAATAATTACTACCTAACCTTACATAGACTATTATTGAGTTGTCCCCCTTCCCCCCTTCCCCTCCTCCCCTCCTTGGTGATCTGTAGTGTAATCCAGTCAATCGAAACGGAACACCCCCCAATGACAAGCCCGCGGATGAAGTAAGATTACGTTTTATTTTGGAACTTGTCTGAATGATTTGGAGAAGGTCATGACGAAAGGGGGGAGGGATTTGCGGGGGGGGAGCTACAGTCAACTATTAGCGTGCGGACAAAACGCGGACAGGCAAGATACCGGGATCTACAGTAGATAGTGCACGCTATACTACGGACTTAGGGTCGCCAAGAATATCGCATGGACTATGGAGAGATGCTATGTATGTATGTATGTATGTATGTATGTATGTAGGTTGTTTGGTTGGTAGATGATTCGTTTTGACAACAGCCCTACAGATTATACATGGAATATGTACGTCGGCCGACGGATGAAATCGACCAGATTACCAAGCAGCTTACCTCCGCCAGAGTCAGACCAGCTACCTGAGTTATTGGCTTGCGTACCCGCATGCTGACTGCTTCATAGTTATCTAGTTAGTTAGTAGGTAGGGATAGCTAGCTATTGACGTAACGTATCTACTTGGGTACCTATTTGGTGAGAGCCGAATTTGCCGACACACACATGCTCTATCTAACCAGAAGGGGGGCCGGCCGGTCTTCGGGGACCGGCATAGTGGGTCTAGCTGTGTACTGTAGTCCGTTGTTCCGGACCATTGGCTGTGATTTTTCAAGGAAGGAATGGGGACTGGGTGACGCCTTCCCAGCAACAAGGATATATCATTCAGCTCGGATCGGATTTCGGTGATGTGGGTTGATATTCCGACGGTAAATCCGGATTAACACCGAGGCGAGGTCGACGGAAGCCCGATCCCGGGTCTGGTCTAGACTAGGGTAGTTAAGCATCTTGGACGGCAAGACATCATCATATTGAACTGTTTTCTTTTTTCTTTTTTTTTTTTCTTTTTTTTTTCCTGGGCAGACTGCGGATTGTGATTGATGATAACAATATGCTTATGGCTGTCTGATATTTGATATCATGATTTTAGCCAAGTATACAACGGTGCCCCAAGTGCCCCAGCAGCCTACCCCGACGTCGTGTATTCCGAAGCTCGTTCTTCGACCTTCTGGCCATTCGTAAGGACAACTCAGGAAAAGGCCCCCCCAATCCGCAGAATTGAATATACACGACGTGAGACTCCATCATAACTAGACCAAGTGCACACGAATCATTAGAATCGTGTATACCACAAGGCGATAATACAGCCCGATCAGCCCGTCCCCGATCCCCCTTCCTCAACCCAGAGCGCCGCGCCGGCCTCCCGCAAAAGCTCCACGCAAGGGCGATTTCCCATCTTCTCAGCCAAGAAAAGCGGTGTATTATCCGCGCGATTCCTAGCGTGAACACTGCCGCCGCGGACAAGTAACTCCCTAAGCACCGCCGCCTCGGGCCCCACGGCAGCCAAATGCACCGCCGTATTACCCGCGTAGTCCGCGCGCTGCAATAACCCGCCGCCGCCGGTCTTGTAGACTGTCGTATCCGAATCCAAGAGTTCCTTCACCGTCCCTAGATCCCCGGCTTGGATGGCATACCCCAATCCCGCGAACGCAGCCTCGGCATCCGATAGCGGACGCGGACTCTTAGTTCCCGACTCCGAGGGCGTGGAGACGTGATGGTGGTGAGGGCGGTATTGGTGATCTGGAGTAGGGCTACTCGTCTCGCCTAATTCCAACCAACCCTGCGGATGTGTGAAAGAAGGCAACACCTGCGCCATCATCTCGCCGCGCAGCGGACGTGACATGCGGCGGCCGACTTCCTCAGCTGAGAGACCAGGAAGGGCAAGGAGGTAGGAGAGTTTAGTCAGTGCTGCTTCGCAGGTGAGATCATACCCGAAGACAACGCCCGCTTCACCGAGCGCGAAACCTGGTGCGTAGAGAGGGGATACGACTCCGCTCGTGCACTGACTGACGTTGACCACGACTACGCCGCGCTGGACGGCGGAGCTGATGACGCGGGTGAGACTGCCGTCGACACCGGCTGGCGCATTGCCCATGCCGAAGGTCTCGAGCACGAGGCCCCGTAGCTGCGGGACGCGCAGCACGCCGTCGACCATCTCCGGTTTGATGCCGGGAAAGATACGCAGTGCGGCTACGTGCGCTGTGTCGAGGTGCGGCGTCACCGCGAACCGGGCGATGCGCGTGGGCCGCAGGACAAGGCCCCAATTGACATCAACACCGAGACTCGTGACGCGCGCAAGCGGGTCGCAATTAGGCGACGCGAAGGCTTCAAACGCGCTCGCTGATACTTTGGTGCAGCGATTACCGCGGTACAGCTTATGATGGAAGAAGAGGCAGACTTCCGGGATGACAAAGGTACCGGCAATGATGAGGGAGCCGAGGAGATTGTCGACGGCGTCAGACTGGAGCGCGAAGATAGAGGCTTGCGACCCGGTTAGGATGACGGGTTTGCCGAGGTCCGAGAGCATGAAGGAGAGGGCGGAGGCGGAGTAGGCGAGCGAATCGGTACCGTGGAGTACTACGAAGCCGTCGAAGAGGTGGTAGTTGGCTCGGATTGCAGATGCTATGGCGGTCCAGCCGTCGCTGCTGATCGAGGAGGAATCTAGGAGTGGATTGAATTCGATCGCGGCGTAGCGGATGTGCCGTCTGTATGAGCTTGGTGGTGTGCGGAAACTGGGTATCTTCACCGGTTTGCCGTCCTGGACGGCGCTTAGGGTCACTGTGAGAGCGCGTTAGTATAGAGTCGGATCTATCATGCCTGGTCTTTGGGAGATGAATGTAATTTTGTGAAGGAACAAGGTTCTTTGGACTCATCGACCCAACTCTCAGGGCGCATTCACTTCTCATCAATCCATGAAAGTTGCCCCCAGGTAAAACAGGCCTTCTCTTTGTAGGAGAAACATCATCATAACTCAAAACATCCACACACGATCCATCCATCCATCCGCTACCTATCGCAGTACGCACGCGCTGCATCATCTCCATTCACGATGATGCACCCCAAGCAATGAAATCTCAGAAGTTATACATACCATTCTCCGAGAGATCATTAAACGAAGGCAGCGGCGCCATCGCGTTCTCGAGGAAACCATCGACCGGCGCGAGGCCGCCCGCCGAAGGCTTCATGCATATCGTGCCGCCCGTGATGATGATCAGCACTCGGGACTCGGGGTATGTCGCGGGCTTCGCGGGCCCATCCGGGGCCAGTGTCTGAAACGACACCATGGATAGATAGTATTGAAATCGATTATAGACGGTTTCCGAGTCCGCGCCGATGATGTGTGTGTAGCTTCTTTTGTCAACTACCTATCGCGATCGTTGAATCTATGCGCCTGGAATGATTTCCGAAACGCCTGGCCGTTTATCGAATACCTAAGGTAGGTATCGCGAGCAGTAACAGGACCGCCGACAGTCCAGTCCAAGTCCGGTCCAGTCCAGTCCAGTCCAGTCCACTTAGATAGGGGGGAAGTTATGAAAGAGATAACAATTTTCGTCGCGGGGTCAACGGGCGCATAAAATAGGGAGTGTAGGTACAGTACAGACTGTAGGTTCGTGTAGAGATAAACAATGTTCACAAAGCCGGTATCGAAGGAAACGCGAGTCGACTCGTAAAGGTAAGGTAGGTAGATTGAATTGTTTTTTCCCGGTCAGTCAGGACTCAGCACCAAGAAGGTAAGAGGTAAGAACCCAAACAATGGGTCATCCAAACCTTGTTTTTCTAACAGGGTGAATTTCGATCTCTCCCACGCCGCGCGCGCGATATCGCAGCTTCAAGTTCCATTATGCATGTCCTCATTAGCATAAAGTCCATAAAGAAAGTCGCTGTCCATTGTTGGTCAGTGAAATCGATTTATGATCCCCAGCTTTTTAGCGTCCCGTCGGTAAAAGAGTCTGGCCGATAGCTATTAGGTACCAGAAGTTTTTTATTTTTTACGTTATGAGAGGGTAATGGAAAGATAAAAACACGGGCGCCGATGATGAACAAATTCTCCCAAAGTTTATAGATGATGATCTTTAGGTAAAGCCGAACAGCAAAATGACTGCTCCTGCTGCTCTCACAGAAAAACAAGAATTTGGGGTTTAAAAAGGAAGGAGAGAATGAACGAAAGAATCCCGAACGAAAGAATCCCGAACGAAAAGAAAAGTGAAACTTGACCCCCACGGTCCCCACCTAATATCCAAACTCAAAACTGGGCAGAAACTGGGCAGAAAACTGGGTTGGTTGGTTACCGGTACCAGAAGTGGGTCCGATAAGAAACCACACACGCTCATACTTAGAAGCAACGCAACAAGAGATATGTCGGCCAGGGAATAAACCAACCAACGCCCTGTCCCATTGCAAAGAAAAACCAAAAAGCACATTCTAGGAATTGTGCGCCTTCATCCTACCTATTGACACATATTGGCCGTGCATCCCAGCTTTTTCAAGAGAATAAGTAGGCATATCTAGTTGAAATACCACTCCGCGATATTGGGGGGACTGACAGAGTGTGTGGTTTCTTACCGGACCCACTTCTGCCGGTATAACGCGTCATGTAGGTAGCACAAATCCACCGCCCGATAATCACCGATACCCGGACTGAACTCAACTTTGGTCCTTCAGGCTTCAACCCAGATCACGAGGACCCAAGAATAGAATAAAACACGATAACTAGATAGCATACATGAAAGCATATTGTCCATTACATAGAAGGCAATTTTCATTACGCGCATTTCCTATTCCCATATAAACAAAAAAAAAATAAAAAAAATAAAAAACACCAAATCAGGGAAAGAGAAACCCCCCTCTAATCCCGTATTGCCCCGCCCCACCAAAAAGTAAAAGCGCAACCCGACGCGAGACTCGAACTCGCAACCTTCTGATTAGAAGTCAGATGCTCTAACCATTGAGCCAGCCGGGCCCTTTTTTTAGGCGAAACCAAGAAACGCTGAGAACGCTTGGGGCTGGGAATTCGCTTGGGGCAAGTTAGCGCACAACCCTGCCTATATTCGAAACAATCATTACGTGCACACCTGCTCTACCCGGTTTCTGCCCGGTCCCCCGCGCGAGATAGTTATGTATTTTCATTATGAGCGCGTCGCAACAACCTAGTAGGTTAGATAGCTTAAAGTAATTCATAAGATAACTTGCAGTGCTTCTATACGGGGTAATGATACGGAATCAATTGACTTGTGACTTGTTGTTTAGGTACTCTCAAACGTACATCCGTACAGACTGTAACTAATTGAATGGATATCGCAAGGGTAACAACATGATTCTTTTCAGCCCCCAAGACTGGCTGAAGGGGGTGTCTGTAGGTCTTGCTGCCCGGATAATAAGGTATATAAATTCAAACTTCATCCTCCATCACCCCCTTTCCATCTGCAATCCACATTGGCTCTCACTTGTACATACCCGCTACCTTAGTTAATGCAATCCCACCATCGTGACATGACAGCCAAACAGCTGACCAGTGAACTGCACAGAATGGCGTGGGGGCGCTTTTAATGAATTCCCCAGCCTTACTATTCCTCAGATCTCTTATACGAAGGAGCAAGGTCTTGCTTGCAATGGTCTACTCCATCAAATGGTGGGCCTCTCTACATTCCCGAAGCTGACGGCTTCATTATATCTCGCTAGTGGAGTGAGGGGTGACGTGTTCTGGCGGTTTGGCGTAGACGTACATCGATGGCGTTTCACTTTCAGCTTCAGCTGTCAGGTCCTGATATAACTACTCGTCGAGGAGATCCTAAAGTCGCCAGGATTTCTCTGCAGGTTAGATACACGGCATAAATCACGTTGGATGTTTATTCGAGATGTATTCCGCCGCCTTGTCCACGGTCTCCTCTAAACGATTCAAAAGACTTGTGGTTGGACCGGCACAACACCTGTCGGCCATGCAGTCCTTGTTCATGTGCCGAGATACCATAAACACAACCGGCTGAAAATTCAGCCCACGGAAGTCACCAGGGGGCTGGGACTAGGTGGTAGGCGGAGTGGATGAGGCTCGCCATCTGTGGATCTCCCAGGGTAGCGTAACAGGTTTGTTCTTATACCTATAGGTATACCTCAACGATAGCGAAGCGGGGTTGCGATATTCGCTCTCGGAATGCTGGATATCGACAAAACTCGCAGATTTCTTTCCCCATCTCGAAATTATCTTTGGCTGCCGTTAGATGTCATGGCGACGAATGCTACCTACGAGTACACGGCCATCACGGCCGCGCAGAACATTCGCTTGATACACCTTCATCCAGGCACAGAGACTGATCCCGTCCACCTGTCTCTGGAGACCGTCGCCCTCGAGTCCGCTTCCAGCTATGAAGCCATCTCATATTGCTGGCGCCTTTCACGGGGCAAACATGAGATAACATGCAACGGCGCCGCTCTCTGCATCGGTGAAAGCCTCTTCAACGGGCTGGTAAACTTCCGCTATACCGACCGGACCCGTATCCTGTGGGCTGATGCAGTCTGCATCAACCAAGACGATGAGGTTGAAAAGGGTGCCCAGGTATTGCTAATGCCACACATCTACTCGCAGGCGACAGGCACGCTGGTTTGGCTTGGTTTGGCCGACGAGCCCGGCTTCGGATATGTGCCGTCTGATGTAGCAGCCTCAATGCGCCAAGTCGTCGAGTGGCTACCCTTTGTCGACCCTGCATACATTGAAAGCCCGGAAGAAACAGCGGCCTGGCTAAAGAACACATACTCGGAAGCGACGCGGCTACAAGACGAGGGTAAGCCGAACTTGTTAGACCATGACTGGACGCCGTTGTCAGCGCTGCTGAGCCGCCCCTGGTTCCACCGCAAATGGGTGGTTCAGGAGGTTGTGCTCGCTAAACAAGTCGTGCTATATGTTGGTGGTGGAGTGGAAATACCCTGGCTCGACTTGGCGCATTGCGCATCCAGTTTGCACAGGATGCAAATTCATAGGTTCCAAGAACTAGAGACTATGGCGTCGCCGCTGAAGTCCATGAACGGCTTCAGGTCCTTGGTCAATATTACTTGTATCCAGCTGGTTCAGCTGTTTAGACAGCGCGCCACGCTTGTAGATGCAATCGCAATCACTATCTCTTTTGAATGTACCGACCCCAGGGATCACGTTTACTCGCTGCTGAGTCTAGGTACTGTCGGGCCAACAATTCACCCGGACTATACTGCCTCGGCGAGCGAAGTCTTCCTGCGATTTGCGATATCGATGATTGTGGAAGGCCAAAGCCTGAAATATCTCGGTATGGCACCGGAAAAATTCGGTCGGTCTCGTTGGGACATCGAAAGACTCGAAGGACTTCCATCGTGGGCGCCGGACTTGCGATCGACGAACCTGGAAACATTGACCATTTTTTCAGTCCAGCCTCCGAGGTTTTTTGCCGGTGGACTCAATAAGCCTCTTGTGAGTGTATCTGATGATAGGCACGTCCTTATGTGTCAAGGGCGGGTATTTGATACCATTGAGAAGATATCGAAATCATTGATTGAGATGACGCTGGATGACCTACCCGAGTTGCGGGGCTCGGGGGCCGCCGTTATTGATCCTCTCGTCTGGCGGAGAAATCGAAGGTTCTTGCATTGGCTTCAAACTTGCTATCAGACGGCGTTCGGGCAGCTCAGCAGCTCGGAACCCGCACCCACGCCTAGCAAGGAGCTACTGAGAGCTTTCTCCCGCACGATGATGTGCGGTATAGACGGTATGCGCAACCGCCTACCTGCGGATAGGGTGGATGGATACCTGGAATATGCCGAGTGGGCAATGAAATATATGAGAACTGAGCCAACTGAAGAAGCGCATGAACGACAGCACATAACGATGATGCCAGGTTACTCAGCATTGGTCGAAGGGGTTGTTCAGGGGTGGGTGGCCGCCCTCAGATTTTGCATCACCAAACAGGGCCGCTTCGCCCAAGTATCGCAGTCTTCGCAACCCGGCGATCGCATTTGTGTCTTGGTTGGCGGTGAAGTCCCATTCGTTGTGCGGTCAACGGGGCGCGGGACATATACCATCATTGGTGAATGCTACGTTGACGGTATCATGGATGGGGAAGCCTTGGAAGGTCTCGAACCGGACTCCTTAGAGATTATGCACTTTGAGTGATCAATGTCAAATTGAGAGGCCGACAATCGTAATAGATTTAGAACGCTACTGTATTTGGCCGGCATTCGTCGACTTAGCAGGAGAAGGACTTTGAGGCCGGGCGAATACGATGTTGGATAGGTCTAAGACGGTGCGCAACATTCGTGCGAATACGGTTACCACACCTAATTTAAGCGATTCATGGCGTCAGCATGGGCAACGAGAACGGCAGAGGCAACCTACCTTCTAGAAAGACATTCGAATCAGTAAAATAATAGTAATTGAGTATAAGACCAAGAAGCCCGAAAGCCAAGTTGTATCGGGGATGGTTCTAAGGCAGGGACTCCTGGAATGGGCGGGGAAACCAGCTAAAGTAGGTAGGCACACGAAAGTCACACCATTGTACGTACCTTCCTACCTCTCCATCAGGACCATATCTACCTAGGTAGGTATGATTTGGAACCGTTCTGCTGTCGACGGAAGGTAACAACGTTATTAACGGTAGTTGAAACACTCCGTTGGCAAGTACAAGTACGGTCCAGGAATGGAAGCACCCTGGATCCAAGCGAACTGGTAATACCTTAAAGAGATAAACAAGTTATTGCTGTTATTCAGAGTCGCCGGCGAGAATAATCATTGCACATTAGATGGACAATTTCATGGTCGACGAGATTTTCTAATGTGCTTAGCCATGTCTTATTACTTCACATTTCGTGCCTATCTATCTACGTTCCGTTAGGCATACAATCGAGGTTGCATCTCAAAACAGCTACTACGGCTTTTACACTTCAAAGTACAAAGTACGTAACAACGAAAGCCTCAGAGATGAGGGAGCGACAGCGACAGCAACAGCTACCCTCCTCCGACTCGAGCGTCTCGCATGTTAAAAAGAAGTTCTATGCATTTATTCTCTTCATACTTGTCCGGATGCTGCGTCTGTTTATGCATGACATACAACTAACACGCCTTCATTAAAGTCCCCAAAAACGCAACGCTCGAACAGATTTATCGTTATCGGAGCTCTCATTCCCACCCATTACTTTTATAGACTTTTCTCTTATCGTCATTTTTTCTTTGTCAAGCTTTTTCTGAGACGAGGAGTACCAAGTACTGTCTCCCCGTCCTAGACGTGCTTCATCATGCCTCCCTCTTTCTAAGGGACCCACTGACTTCTTCTATCTCTTAAGATGGCTGGCGTTGCCGTTCAGCTTTTTCAGCTGGTCCTGCACCAGTCCTTTGCTTGTCGTTGAATCATACCCGATGACATTCATGAGATAAAAGAGCCTAGAGCAGTTAGTCATCATATATCATTACACCCAAGAGTGGAGGGATCTCACATTTCTGAATTTGTCTCGGTCGTCAGGAAATCTTCGAATCGTTGTTGGCATGCGGCCCATGCCAAGGTGCGTTGCTTGGGCGATATCGACTTGATAGTGTACTTGAAGCGGCCAGTTACTGGTCGGTGGTCCGATACCCTAACTTCGTGCCGACGGTAATCGAGTTGCTGTATTCTGCCGGAACCCCGGTGCAGCAGGCGATCACACCAGGCAGGAGATCGTTTCTTCTCGCTCGTGTCGTAATTATCCGTACCAACGTCGTACTTGTAGGTTGGAGCAAATTGAATTGGCATTTCGTCAAAAGCTCGCAACCGGAATGCTGGATTCCTGCGGCGCGCAACAAGCAGCTGATCGCGCTCAAGTAGCTTTGCTAAATTGTTGGCCTTCACCGCATTCACGACCGTATCCCGCGACATGGTATCAATCCGATAGTTAAGATCGCCGTTGAGAAGGCAAAGTTCATGATCCAAAACCATAGAACCGTCACCACCACTGATGTAACTGTCGAGGCGA